CAAATAGGGAGATGCCAGTCCAACAAAGAACTCTCATAAAATGATGAAAAATCCGTTTTCAGAATAGGTACCAGTTATACAGCGGGCGACTCAGGAGACCTGGATTATACATGCTCATCTGTGACAGAATCAGCGACAATTTGATAACGGCCCACGAGAAACTGATGAACCCTGAGTGCCGAAATATGAAACTACTACAGTAAAGGCACTGCAGCACTCCCTTAGGAAAGCTGGAGGGAGTTGCCGATCTGCTCGCTTGAAATCTGCTGTCCCTGTCCACCGTTCCGTAAACTGGTGGCTACGACAGGAGGAATGTTGCTCAAAAGAGTAAGGTTTAAGCACAAATATAGATCAACGGGTGTGGATCTGAAGTACTATAATGGTGCTAAAAGAATACTATTTTAATTCAGTGACTGTACTTTTTGTTTTCTTTTGTATTTTATCTCCGTTTCCGTCAGCCTTTATCTTATCCGTACTATGTACAATTCTTCTGAGCTACATTTTATTCGCTTTTTTGCTTATTCTCTTCATTATCTGTTTACTCTCCTTATACAGCATTTAACTGTGTGTTTTCCAACTGAATAGTGGAACGATAGTCTCAAGCAGTGGTGGTTGTCAACGTCCAGGTCTTACTACACTGCACCTCACGCTGTCCGTGGAAGACTTTCAGAAACTATGCGTAATAACTAACACAAGAAAACCAGAACGCGAATTGGTGACTCAAGAACCGTTTATTCTTGCACTAATGCAGAGCCAACCATTTGGTTATTGTACACAAAGTCTAATAATGTATGTCATAACAATAAATCACAATAATACTTCTGATAGTATTTCTCCGTCTTCTAACGAACAGAGAACGATAGAACGATGACGGCAGTATTGATGACTTCCGCGAGAAATATGGAGTTGGTTTTGAGCAAACTACCATGAATCGGTTGTTCAATCTTCAACTAAATTGACAGTGGTCTTGAAATAAATTTCCTCCTCTCATTCTGATGGCTTCAGATGAGGTGTCGTGATAGTGAGGACAGATATGAGAGGGATCCTGCTACAGCCCAGATGTGTTCATTACACCGAGAAACGAGAGCCAACAAATCAACGGTCTGTACAGAGCCGTCATAGATAAAATGAATGTTAAATTATGATAACTTTGCTGATAGATGTTTGTTGCTTACAACTTTGGCCTAATTTTATGAATAAACAATGGTGTCCTCATTCCTGTATATACACAAGCTATTAGCAAACTGGTATCATAACGCAACTTGGCGACTCAGAGTATTGGTCCCTGTGCGAAGATAATTTCCCGTGTGTGACTTCAAGAGCGACCCTGACATCGTTTCAGCAGGAGAACGGGACTACCCAGGTGATGTGGACGGGCATATTCAGATCCGCATTTCACACGAAGGCTATTATATTCACTAATGAGCTTTCTGTAAAATAAAAAGTACACGTGTGATTGCACCTTGAGATGCATAACATCATCGCGCCTACATCACTTAAAAGTGACAAGAACCTTATGGGACGAAGAAATCAGGTCTCTAAACGACCAGGTGCTGTTGGTTTAAAGATTACATAATCAGTGTTTACAAGATTGCAAATGATAAGATCGCCCTCATATCAAGTGATCATGAACTTTCTTGCGATTAACTATGAAGAGTAGATCATCAGGCGGGCCCTCTGCCCCCCTCATAAGGTTTAGTACTTCAGTAAGTTTCTAACAGCAGCTGTGGCTACGGCACCTGTGGTGGAAATGAAAGCCAACCCTCATATACAGCATTCTACAAATGGGTCTTAATTAAACTAGTCCTTATCCATCGTGTGGTCTCCCTTGCCTTAATCTTTCATTTTCTTAGCCTATTAACTCATTTATTTCTTAACTGTCCATTTGATTTCTTGCTCGATTTTGTATTCAAGTTTACACATCTACAATTATTCACGTCATTATCAGTATTACTACTGTTTCGCCATTCAACTGTTCGGGACGACGTGTTAAGATAAGAGCTGCAGTCATAATAGTACCATGGTCTTAACATACCACATACTGCAGATAATATATAACCAATCCTTAAAAACACGATTTGGTCCACACTAGATGCTATAAACGATATGGGATATTTGATTAGAACGAAATATTTATTCTATTGTCGAGACCTGACTGAGAATGTTGAAGACGACACTAGGTGGGGCCCTAGTGGAAAGTCATCAAAACTAGATTATATTCTAACTAGTGACCAGCTACTCGTCGAAAAGGTCCAGATCATGACTCCTCTGGGAAGCAGTGACCATGCAGTCATAGGTTTCGATCTTGTCCTCCGTGAGCGTTTGCAATGGGATGTTACGCGACCATGTCTGTGCTACAGCAAGGCTGACTATGCTGAAATGCGGAGGCTCTTGTCCGACGCAGACTGGCCCTTAGCATGGGACGACCTATCTGTGGATGAACACTGGGAAGTGGTAAAAAAGATTATCCATACAGCAATCTCGGATACCGTCCCTTTAGTCACAACACAGCCTAAGAGAAAGACGTCATGGTTGAAGAGAGGCACGCAACGTATTCTGCAAGCAAAGCGGAAGGCTTGGTTTACGTGGCGTGTATCTAAGAGTCAGACCGACCATGATGCATACCTCGAACTCAGGAACCGGTGTAATGCAAGAGTCAGGAGGGACAGAAGGTCATTCCAGGCTAACCTTGCTAAAAAACTCCTATCAAACCCTAAAAACTTGTACCGATTCATGTCGGAAAGAAAACCGACAAACCAAGGGGCATGCGCCTTAGTAGGCCCAAACGGTCAATATCTCACTAGTCTGGAGATGGCTGAAACATTCAGTTCAGCCTTCGCTAAACAGCTAAACAGCAATGTGGATATTACAGTTACGGACCAAAATGGTGGCACCACTATTTCAGAGGAGGAAGACCTAGCGACTACTCCCCAAATAAACCCCGCAATAGTACTAAGGAAGCTACAGCGACTCATACCTGGGAAGTCCCCAGGTTGTGATGACATCAGGCCATCTGTTCTGAAACAGTGCGCCGAGGCTCTCTGTAGACCCCTGTGCGACTTGTTCCAACACTCAATGGATTCGGGGACCCTGCCAAGGGAGTGGAAAAGAGCCATCCTTTCTCCAATCTTCAAGGGTGGGGACAGGCAAAACGCTGCTAGCTATAGACCAGTAGCTCTACTCCCAGTGGTATCAAAAGTACTGGAAAGTATTATTGACGACCACATCAGGGAATATTTCGATAGGACTAATATACTACATGAAGCCCAACATGGTTTCAGAAAAGGCAGATCCTGCGTCACTAACCTACTGTCAGCTTGGGACGACTGGACATCATGCTGGGACTTGAACGTACCAGTCCATGTGGTCTTCCTAGACTTTGAGAAGGCATTTGACACTGTTCACCATGACCTTCTCCTACATAAAATAAGCCAGGCAGGCATAGGTGAGCCACTTCTGTCATGGTTGAAGGACTACCTAGCCGACAGGCAATTTTGCACTAAGGTTAACCGAGTCCGATCATCTTGGCACAGATCGTCATCAGGAGTGTCGCAGGGTTCTATCCTAGGACCACTGATGTTTTTGATTTTCATCAATGATCTACCACGCCGTCTGAGCTGCCCGACTCTCCTGTACGCTGACGACGTAAAAATATGGAGGGCGATAAAGTGTCCGGAGGACTCAGATAGGCTACAGGAAGACCTAAACCTTCTGGAAGACTGGGCGGTGGCCAGTGGCATGACTTTCAACTTGAAAAAGTGCAAAGTAGTGAAGTTGCGCACCTGTAGACTGCAGAATGCAAGTTACACCCTGTGCAATGAAAGCTTGTCCTGCACAACGTCGGAACGCGACTTAGGTCTAGTTCTAACGGAAAAAATGGACACAAGCGTAAATTACACAGGGGATGTAGCGAGGGCATATGCGGTCATACACTTTACGCATAGACAGTTAGGTGCACTCACTCCTGAGCTCTTTCTAATGTTGTACAAAACATACGTCAGGCCACACCTTGAGGTGCATAATATTATTGCACCCCCAATGCTGAGAAGAGATGCCAACCTCTTGGAAAGAGTCCAACGACGGGCAACAAAAGGAGTGGTTGGTCTCCGAAACAAACCATATGATGAAAGGCTGAAGAAATTAGGCCTGTTCACACTTAGTTACCGTCGGCTTAGGGGGGATTTGATTACTGCCTACAAAATAACAAATGACCAGAATCACCCAAACAAAGGTGTTCTGCCATTGAGTAGGTATAGGCTTCCACGTGGAAATCCCAGAAGGATAGCTCACCAGAGGGCAAGGACCCGGGTGCGCTCCCACTTCTTTTCACTGCGGGTTTGTCGTCCCTGGAATTCCTTACCGGCAGATGTAGCTATGGCACCGTCTTTGGACGCCTTTAAGCGAAGGCTGGACAACCATGCAGCGATACAAGGACTGCATCCAAATGGCCTATCTCCTTAAAATCGCATTTACCAATCAGGGTAGATAATTAAACTCGTCATTTTACTTCTTTACATTCTCTCCCGTCTTACTCTCCTGACAACTTATTAATATTATAATTACTATTATTATTATTATTACTATTACCGATATATATATTATTCTTCAAACTTAATGAGCTGACTGTTGTTACGTTTCCTATTTTCGTTTCTGTCTCTTAGTCTGAATAGCTTCACTAATTATATCTATTATTATTATTATTACTATCTCTTTTCTCTTGTCGACAATACCGAAGGACTAACTGGCGAAAGGATCAACTCCAATCACAGTAGTAACAGTCTTAACATACCTCATACTACAAACCACATATAATTAATCCCAGCACTACTCCCTTTGGAGTCAACCAAAGCTACGACAGTCGAGTGGCGGGACAAGCTACGCAGAAGTTTACCGAAGATCAAGAACCTATACCTCACAATCAAGAAGCGAGCACAAAGAAATCAAATTGGTTTATACTAGCTCGTAAAAACGATATTGGATATATTGGATATTGGATCTTGAAAGAATATCATGTGTGTAATATAAATGTTTACGTTACCCTCTCATAACGTTTTGGATTCACTTTCAGACGTTTCTTCAAGTGATGAAGAGGAAGAAAAAAATAATCACAATGTCAGCAGTTCAGATGGTGAAATGGTTATGCCGTCTCAGCGTTTCGCCCCTGTCAGATTAACTGAGGTCCTGAGGAAAAGAAATAAAATGTTGGAAATCATGATATTCTGACGTTCTTTTCCAGTGCTAAAATACGATACGATAGTAGTAAAATATTACCTAAATATTGGAAAAGGAGATATGATCTTTTCGAAAGGTTTGATGAGGGTGTCCAACTTGATGAAGGTAAGCCGGTGATCATAGATATCATGAAGATCATGGTCATCATAATATATTTTGTACTTTTAGTCACTTATTGGACAAAGAGTTCATTATGACAAAGTTGCATTCACTTAATTTTGGTTTACATCCGTTTTTATTCTGAAAATAGAAACTGTTGTTTATTCAGAAAATATATTTTCCGATAATGTATATATTATTAGGATCCACAAGTTTATTTTCAGAATCAGATTTAGCTAGGGAAAATCGATTCAGAGATGTAAGAGTATATCTGAAAGCTATTACATTACTTAAGACGGTGAAGATCTTGGCAGAATCTATTTTGTCACTTTTCTGCCTGAAGGCACTGCGAAAATAATTTTGGGCTGCGTATTGAAGGTAATGCACTAACAAAGGAGAAATTTTGTGCTCAGTGTTTCTCGAGTCGTCTATGTGCACCCATGGTATTTTTAAGTTAGGATGCAGGAAACGCACTACACTGAATTTACGACTTATCGGATAGTTTCTTTACAAGATTAGTTGTAACTTGCTGGGGGCAGATTTTATTTCTTAATGCTAAGTTTCTAGCTTCAGTTTAACAGAAGAAGGATTGCCTGAAGGCGTCTTTCTGCGGTATCTCATTCCTCACAATCTTAAGCAGCCAAAAACTTATCTTTCCTCCTTCAGTTCTGGTTCGTAAATATCGGAAGGGAAGTTTAGTTGATTTAAGAGGCAGTCTGCGGAATGAGTGTGATAGATGGTATTAGTGATGTTTTAAGACTTAAGCCATAGTAAAGTGTTACTCAAGTCTGTCAAGAATTGGTGAAAGGGCTGACTAACTTAGTAGGGCATTAATGAATGTAACACTGGTTATTTTCTTGGTTTTCTTGAGTACAGGTGTCACTTTTGCCGAGGAATGCAAGTTTCCTGACTAATACACAACTAAGGCCTTTCGAAAATAGCAGGTGTGACTACATGTCGGTTATAGTGGCTTGACTAGTTCAATTTTATTGTCAGTGTCTCAGCAAAATGAAGTTTAACTAGAATAGTTGCCTTCATGTACTACCACTGAATAGACTTAGGATTACTTCCATCTCAGTTCTGTAAAAGCTCATACTCATCCAAGCTGTGTGTCGGTGGCACAGCAGTTAGGACGCTAGTTGACCAGGCACATGGTCCTGTGTCCGATCCCCGGCTGTCGCGCACCTGCTATCAATGGTCAGCCTGCTAAATTTGGGCTAACGATATTGCATGCTGGAAATTCCTTGCTTGTATCACGTGGAATCAAGATGTAATGAAAAAAGAACAAAAATGTAAACTCCAGCGTTTCTTGGTCTGCCTTAAGTTTTCTTTGTCGTATATTGATTTTAAATTGTCTGTATCATTTGTTGAAGACTCAAATTTGGAACAATATGAGCACCCAGGGATGTGCTCCATAAAAAACAATTAATCAGGTACTCGGAAAGCTACGGAAGGGCCGTAATTTCGAAACTATAAGAAGCTGCTCAGAAAATTAAAGATACTTCCATTATGGATAAAATTTATTCTGATAACGTTTCACACTGTTATGCAATGGTATTTACTGATGACCACAATTCAAGCACAATTTATTGCCGCTCAAAATCATATCAAGGTGCTCACACAACTTTCTGGATTCAACAATATTCGTCTTAATTCCCATCTTATTATATTTTATTGATAACACTGATATTGTTCCCGAATGTTATTTATCTCCCTTTCTGTTTCACGCATGTTTATTGAACTTTTATTTTTATTCATGTCTAATCAATTTTTGCTTAGGTATGTAAACGAGGCAAGAAAGTTGTGTGAATGCCTTGATATGATTATGAGCAATAATACATTGTTCGCGAATTGTCATCAGTAAATATTGCTGTATAACAGTGTGACTTTATTAAAATAAATTTTATCTATAGTGGAATTATACTCTACCACAGTGCCCAGGTTTTATCCTTATGTCAAAATTAAAGATATTAATAAACGTAAAGATGACTTGGTTAAAAGCTAACAATCCGTGTACACGAATAACGGTAGGAATATTATGATAATGGATCAGATAATTATGTGTTTGGTAAATCAGCATGCACAATAATTTATGAGGGTGTAGAGATGAACTTCCTATTGAATTGTCGTTCCATATTTTGTTTGAGCGTTTTGATTCGCTGCGGATGCCCAGATCGAGGCTGGTTGTCACGTGGGTTCACTAACCAGGCTTTTGACTCGAAGTCTTTGTGTTTACCAGTGACTAGAATAGATCCATACTCTGTTCGCTCCTCTTGGGTCATGTAGCTCATGAAGTCAGGGTTTCTTAGCCTCCCGAGGAAAATCCCACATACGCTCTTGTCATAGCATGAGTGCTGGGCATTTGTCTTCACCTTTTTACTCTTGTAGTAACACCCTGTGCCGCCTGAGCCCAGTCAGTACAGCCTGTCTGGTAAAGGTTATGAACGTGTCTCTAAAAAAATGCATTGGGAACCACTCATATCAACCAGTAGTACAAACATGGCAATGTCTGACTGTGAGAGGAGTGCCAAGAAAGTACATTGCACTAATCAAGGCACTCTATTCAAACTCACGTAGTCGTGTAAGGGCTTATGGGGAATTGTCATCTGAATTGGTAACAACCAGTGGTGTCCGACAGGGATGTCCACTTTCCCCATTTCTGTTTAACTTCGTCATAGATATGCTAACGGAAGTATCCTCAACTGAACGTAGTGACTTAGGAATCGACTTGTTACCAGGGAATAATCTAATGGACTTAGAATATGCAGATGACATAGTCCTGTTAGGGGAGGATGCTGAAAAAATGCAGAGTCTTCTGAACACCTTGAGCAGCAATCTTCGTATGTTTGGCATGCGATTCGCCCCTGCAAAATGTAAGATGCTGCTACAGGACTGGACCACGTCAACCCCTAACTTAGTGATAGGGAGTGAAGTGATAGAACATGTTGTCCACTTCACCTACTTGGGAAGTTGTATTAGTACCAACGGACTGATTGGCGATGAAATCTCAGCACGGATCCGAAAAGCTCGAGCTGCTTTCGCTGACTTACACCATCTCTGGCGTAGGCGTGACATCCGGTTATCAACCAAGGGACGTGTGTACTGCTCATCAGTTCGCTCCATCCTTCTCTATGGCTCTGAAACATGGCCAATACGAGTTGAAGACATGAAAAGGTTGACTGCTTTCGATCATAGATGTCAGTGATCTGTTTCTCACGTTAGGTGGTTTAATAAGGTAAGTAATGTTGACGTTGGGCGTAGAGTGTTGGACAAAGAGGGAAAATCAATCGACGAGGCTATAAAGTTACATAGACTGAGATGGCTAGGTCACGTGGTGCGCATGCCTAACCATCGCCTCCCCCGACGGGCATTACTAGCTGATATAGGTGCAGGTTGGAAAGGAGTAAGTTGTGGCCAAACAAAACATGGCATCAATCCATGAAATCCTTGACAGTTAAACTGAGTCAGGTAGGGAGATGGAGACTTCCGGGTTGGGGCCCTCGGGACTCTAGGAATCAATGACTGGAGACAATAGGTGACATGGCTCAAAATCGTTGTCAATGGCCAGCGGAGATGTATTCAGTCTCTGTAATCTTTCATATTCCTTTCTACCATTACCCATTCTGTTTCACTCTTATACTTGTCAAACTCTATTGATTCTCTCCACTCATCTTCTTGTCTACCTCTGTGTGCTATTTGGAAGGTGGCAACTCGAACTGCTGCACTTTGGTGCCAAGTTCTATGTTGAATCCAGACAGACAGACAGTAGTACAAACACTGGAGTGAGCCAAACCGAGGTTTACATTTGTTTCTTAGGTTTGGTTTTGACTGACTGACTGAATTCCAACGTAGAACTTCGTACAAAAGTGCACCAGTTCAACTTGCCACATTCCATGTGACACAAAAAGAAGAAACGAGAGAAAAAAGAGATTCAGGAGTAGTACAATAAACAGAAATGCCTGGGAGTAAGAATAGTGGCACACAAAAACATGTTTGGTGAACCTGCGAGGCTACAAAAAGTGATTGTATCTTTGCCTTTGGTATTGATTTTGAGCCATATCACCACTAGTCTGTAGTTTTCAGAATTTCAATATCTCCAACGAGGCAGTTTACACCTTCCTACATGGTAAGCTTAAACTGACTGCCAGAGGCATCACGAATTGATGACAGGTTTTGGTTTGACCATCCCTTATTCCTTTCCAACCCAATTCTGTGTCAGCTAAGATTGCTCATCTAAGCGGGTGGTGGCTTACTATGCGCAATACATGTCCTAATAGTTCCAATCGATACAGCTTCACAACTTTATCGAGTGCCTTCCCTTCCTTACCTGATACTCTACCCCTAACCTCAATATAACTGGTCTTGCCTCGGGGTTGATCTGTTTTCTGGCTTCATAGGAACGTTGTTTGAATTTATTTCCTTGTATCTGTTTTTGAAACACTAATAAGAATTACCGTTTTTCCTCCCAATAAATATGTGATTTTTATCAGAGTCATGGTACAGTGTTACACCTGAATGTATTGCCCGTCGGCAAGCCAAGGCATGCGCGTGCGATTTTTTGGTGGATGCTTTTGCAGGGGTTGGAGGAAATACAATACACTTTGCTCAGAACTGTGGACTTGGTAAGTGTTGCGTTTTTATTTCGCGTATCATTGGCAGTCTCATTATTTCAGTGGTTCTGCTGGCTGCTGTTATGTTTGTGTTAAATTCAATGTCGAAACTTTCATTTGTTTGATCTTCCGTCCTTGTGATATAAGGCCGAGAAGTTTAGTTTTTGAATTTCATAGACATCCATTTAAAAAATGACTGCGACAGTCTGATTGAGTTTTCAACTTAGGACTTTGCATAACATTACAGTGGATCAAATTGCTACGCTATGTAGTGCATCATACCCACAGTCAAGTCTATTCTGACTAACAGCATTTCTTACCCTTACATCAGTAATATTGTGACAAGTAGCTTAGAAATAAAATCATTGAGAAGTAGGAATCATTCAAAGTGATATAGATGATTGGAAATAATTCCCTGGTCTAATAAGTTGTAAAGTGCGTCGGTGGCACAGTGGTTAGGACTCTCGCCGACCATGCACATGGTCCGAGGTTCGACCAGCTGCCGACGCACACCTGATATCTATGGTCGGCCTGCAAAATTTGGGCTACCGATATCTATGCTGAAAATTCCATACTTGTACCAAAAATACAGTGTGGAATCAAGCTGTAATAAAAAATAATTACTTTGGTTTATTTTCCAAGTATTGTTTTTGTAGGGATTCTGTTTAATTGGTTTTCGTCAGTTAGATTAGTGGGAAGTTTTAACCGGTGGGTTACAGTAAGGTCGGGTGTGAGGACAATTACTCGCCGATGCTATTCACTAGTGGTTGTGCCATATCATGAATAGACAGAATTCGAAATTCATGTACCATTGGATCGGATCTAAGGGGCCTAATAGTATATGAGGTCGCCTTGTAACCAGGAGGTCCTTAGTTCGAATCTCAGTTGGTGCGTACTGATGAAGAGTTGGAAGACAGTTGTCCAGTACTCCAAGCTAGTTTTCCGATGGTCCTGTAATCGAAGTCACTTCATAATGAAATGCTAAACACCAATTGTTAGTGGCAGTACTAATAATTTTAGAAAATAATATAAATTTTTAAGATCAGTGGAATAAGTTCAAAAGTTCATGTGTAAGTGATAATGTGCATAGAAAGTGTAATACTAAATTGAATATTAGATAAGATTAAGGAAATTTATCCGCGAATTAAAGATAGTTAAAACAATAATATGGCCAAAGTAGGAAACCTGTATGAACGAATTTCTTTTGATAAGCGTTCAAGAGTGATAATCCCATGAACAAAACAGGTTACTTCCTGAAGATGAATACTATTCTTAATAACCATCTAAAATTCCGACAAATCTCATCATCATCTCTTGATACGATTGAAACGGTTCGTTGAAGCATTAGAAGCATTGAAACAACAGGACTGTATCTCACAGCGTTTGTATACATCACCGAAACCCACTTGTATGTTCACACATAGATTATACGGTTGGCTAAAAGTGCACAGAAATGGGTTGAAACTTTAAGCAGTACTAGATATGTTAAAATCCCCATGCTGTATGACAGCCAAAGCCTCTACATACCGCATTAATAAAACAGTATAAATGTGTTGAAAGGATAAAAGATTTAAATGGTAGCAATAAAGTCGTGATATTATTTGAAATATCTACTTTATCCCCTAATGCTTCACTGAGGGAAGCAGTAGATTTTGTGTGTGAAGAACTTATTAAACGAAACATTGATGCTGGCATTCCGATATCTCTTACGAAGGAGATTCTTATAAAATGCACAATGAATGTTCATTAATAAGGCATTCTTCAGTAACGGTAGGAGATGAAAGACTTGGTAATTATTATTGTTATTGTTTCCTTTAGTTTCTAGAGGAACATAGGACTTCAGCTGCACGTCTCCATTGCGTTGGGTTCTCTGTCAACGTTCCCACCTGTCTCCATGTCTGCCCACATGCTTTCATTTCCCCTTCACTCCATTTCACCCTCACACTGACGTCCAGGTAGCCACTTCGCATTAGGGTTCCATTCGAGCTATAGCTTGGGGTGTGATGTCACTTCATGGTTTTCTCAAAGTATGTCCAGTCCACCTCCATTTCTTCCTGTATATCTATTGCACGATTGGCTCCTGCTGGGTTGGCTTGCTAATTGCCAGAGATCCCTGTTGCTGATCTTTTCTGGCCAGCTGTTGATGGAAGTCTGTAGCTTCTTCGAACTGCCCTTCGTGATGAGGCACGGCGCCAAATCTGTGATCTGTATAGCAGCACTGACTTCACATTGAAGTTGAAAATACTGATCTTATTTTTCATGCTTAGTACTGTTGATCACCGCACTGACTTTAGAGTACTGAAAGCTTGCATTAGTTTCCTGATCCTCACTTCGATATCCTCATCAGTTGCGCCTGTGGTTGAAACGATGCTTTCCAGGTCGATGGTTAAAGGAGGTTGCTTCTTTCAAAGACTTGGTAAAGCAATGTTTGTTTGCAAACTGGTATCTCTGTATAACGGAATCATGTACACCTTATCTTCAACGCACAATTTACACAGATCTGTGTTGTGCTACTCCTGGCCTTCCTTCTTATTGTATTTCTTTGGGTTCTTTTCACGTCTCCTATGTATCTCCACAATGCTGTATCATTCGCTTTGTCTGACGTCAAATCTATCTCCCTACTGTTTAATGTTTTTGGGCCGATGGGCATGTCTTTACATAGACTGAGATGGTTAGGACATGTGTTACGTATGCCTAGCCATCGCCTTCCCCGACCGACGAGTAATGTTGTCTCTGTCTGTCTGTTTTCGACATAGAACTTTGCACAAATGTGCGGAAGTTCAAGTCGCCACCTTCCGTGTAGCACGCGAAGCAAGAGAAGAAAGTACAAGAAAAGCATAATAGAAACAGTGAGCAGAGGTGTGAGACAAAGGAGTGATAAAGAAATACAAAACAGTTTCATTGAAGATCATAAGTCACGAGGAGTGGATGCATCTGCGCCACTGAGAACGATTTTGAGCCATGTCACCAATTGTTTCCAACTATTGGTTTTTACCGTCCCGAAGACCCCAACCAGTCAGGAAGTCTACACCTTCCTACGTGGCTGGCTTAGACTAACTGTTGTAGATTTCATTGACTGGTGCCAAGTTTCTGTCTGACCGCCGCTAGCTTTTTTCCAGCCTGACCCTATATCCGCTAACATTGCTCGTCGAGGGAGGCGATGGCTTGGCATACGTAACACATGTCCTAGCCATCTCAGTCTTTGTAACTTCACGACTTCGTCGATTGATTTCCCCTGTTTACCTAGAACTCTACGCCTAACGAGCAATGTTAGCTGATACAGGGCCAGGCTGGAAAAGAGCTAGTGGTGGTCAAACCAAAACATGGCACCAGTCAATGAAATCTACAACAGTTAGTCTAAGCCAGCCACGTAGGAAGGTGTAGACTTCTTGACTGGTTGGGGTCTTCGGGACGGTAAAAGCCCATGACTGAAAACAATTGGTGATATGGCTCAAAATCGTTCTCAATGGCTAGCGCAGATGCATCCACTCCTTGTGACTAATGATTTCTAATGAAACTGTCTTGTTCTTCGTTATTACTCTTCCTTTGTCTCACACCTCTGTTTATTGTCTCTAGTATGCATTTCTTCTACTTTCTTCTCTTGCTTTGTGTGATACAAGAAGAGAGTGTGGCGACTTGAACTGCTGCACATATGTGCAAAGTTCTATGTCGAAAACAGACAGACAGACCTAATTGTAGGCCCTATGAAACTGACTCCACTTTGAGCAGACAAACGGATAGATACACGTAGAGCGGATGAAATTAAGCACTCTATCCTTAACTGCTGAAATTAATATATATATATACCCATAACTTTTATATTATTATCTCTTTTTGTTGCGTATTTGTTAACTTTAGTTTTAGCCATTGAAAATTGTTTCCCACGTTTATTAATGCTACAAAACAATGCTGGAATCTACGGTGTTCTACCCAAGATTATGCTGGTTTGTGGAGATGTTGAAACAATTTTGAACAGTCTGAGATGCACTCAATCACCTATCAATCCTTCTACAAATACTAATGGTAATAATCATGATACCATGGGCACTGAAAATTCAGACGAGAAGTGTATTGTTAGAACTAGTTTCGAGATGACTTCAAATCCCTCCGAGAATTCCACATCAAATCCACAAGAGAATGGTGAATCATCTGTAAATCCTCCTGAAACATCCATTCCTGTAGAAGGTGATGCTTCTTTCGCATCAGACATAAATACAGCTGAAACTCCACATGTACTACAACAGTTGGATAATGAAGCGTCTTCTTCGAAGTCCGATTCAGAATTAAATCAAAATATTGAAAGCATTACGTCAAAAGAAGGTGAAGAGAAGTCAGCGCCTTCAATTATCGATGTGATATTTATGTCTCCACCATGGGGTGGTCCTGGTTACACAGGAAAAGTTTTCCCCCCTGGTTCTACCAGTTGGAATAGAAAAAAACGTAAAAATTGGTTGGCTGATTTTGATGAAATTGAACCGACTAAAAATCTTGGCGATATCTTACTCCTTAATAAAGCTTTGAGTGCTGCACGACATGCATGCAGCAGAATTTTATTATATCTTCCGAGAAATTCTTCTATTGGTCAATTAATTCAATTGAGTTGGCCATTACATCAGGAGGAGGAGGGATTATGCAATGGACGTCTTGGTAATTGTTCTTCTTGTAAACAATATCTTAATGTACATATTGAAAGTTATTGTTTACGAGGTAGACAATTAGCACTTGGTTTGTACTTGGGTGATTTTCCATTCCTTGAAAAGGATATTATTGTGTACAATAAAGATACTTAAATAATCTAATCTTTTCATTCAATGTTGATCTAGTTCTTAGTACACGTTTTATTTCCTCTGTTAAATATTTGTGTTACAAACTGCTGCTTCGACTTTTGGTGGTGATGGTATATATCGGACTACATAATCAATAAGGGATACGAAGTTCAAAAATGAAGGTAAACTGATTTGACTGATTGTGTTTCAACTTGGGATTTCGTAAAAAAAGTGCGACAGTTCAAGTTGCCAGTCTTCTTGTCTGACTGACTGGTTTCAACGTAGAACTTTGCACAGATGTGCACCAGTTCGAGTTGCCACACTCCATTCAGCATACAAAGCAAGGGAAAAGAGTAAGGTGAGATTCAAGAGAGAGAGAGAGATAATAAACAAAGGTGAGATAGACTTTTCGACCTCGAGTGTGCAGACGATATCGTCTTTCTGTGCGATAGCATGCAGGCTGCCCAAATCGCACTTAATCAGTTGGCGATCAGTGTCTGTAAGGATGGTATGTGCTTTGCGCCGTCTAAGTGCAAAGTACTGTTGCAAGATTGGCAGGAGCCTGTACCTTCACTCACTCTTGCGGGTGAACCTCTTGAAGTTGTTGATAAGTTTGTGTATCTGGGTAGTTGTGTGAGTGCTGGCGGATGGGTGATGGATGAGATTTCCAACTGTATAATGAAGGCTAGGGTGGCCTACATCAACTTGAGCCACCTATGGCGCCGTTGCGATGCTAGCCTGTCTGTCAAAGGTCGGGTATACAATGCTTCGGTGTGGGTTGTCCTGCTCTACGCCTGTGAAACCTGGCCTCTCCGAGTAGGCTGAGGATGTGCGGCGACTCTGCGTGTTCGATTAACGCTGTCTCCGCAGGATTGCTTGCATTCGATGGCATCATCGCGTGAGTAATTCTGAGGTTCGGCGGCGTATGTTTGAACACAGTGGTGATCACCATTCATTGAGTGTCGTCATCTGGAGACACCGGCTCCGGTGGCTTGGAAATGTGCTGCGAATGTCATTCTAGAGGCTTCCGTACAGGTCTGTGTACGCTAGCCCTGGGACGGGATGGAAAAGGCGGAAGGGTGGTCAGTGCATGACGTGGCGTCGTGGGATGAAGGATTTTTGTGCTAGATTAGCATCAGTTGGTGTGTCACGACTCCCTGGTTGGGGGCCGCGAGGTAGCTCAAATCGATGGCTCGAAACGTTATTGGATATGGCCAAGAATCGTAATCAATGGCGAACGTGTTGGAATTTCCTTCTTTCTTCCCTTCCCGATGATAGTTAACGAACACTGTTTGAACTTGTTAAGCATGACTGTTTTCCTTCCAGATGAAGTTCTTTATCCGTTCTCTACTTATATATATTTTTCTTTTCTTTCTTTTTTCCTCTGATCTATGTTGCTTTATTATTACTGTGTGGCACATCCTTCTTGGTGCCATATCGTACTAAGTTTTTATGCGTTTAAATAAATAAATAATAAACAGAGGTATGAGGCAAAAAGAATAGTAATATGGAAGAACAACCTGATCCATCCTATGTCATCTAACATTAGCCGTCGAGGAAGGAGGTGGTTAGGCATGCTTAACACATGTCCTTACTATTTCAATCGATGCAGCTGCTTCGCAATCTCGTCGATTGATTTTCCGTCCTTATCTAGCACTCGACCAAAGCCTTATCTTAATATTGCTCACCCTATTATATAACACTTAACATGGGAGATAGAACGCAGAAACGTATGATCAAAGTCAGCTAGCCAGTCTTTTCACTTTCAATGGCCAGGTCTCATAGCCATAAAGGAGGACGGAGCAAAGTGCTGAGCAGTGTACATACCTTTTGGTTGACAGCCAAGTATCACGTCTACGCCAGAGACGGCGTAAACTGGTATATGTGAAACGAGCCTTCTGTATCCGTGCTGAGATTTGGTCATCAATCCACCCTCTGGCGTTGGCTGATGCAACTCCCTGAATAAGTGAAGTGGTCAACACGCTGTATCACTTCACTCCCTATCTTTAAGCTAGGAGTGAGTCGATATAGTCCAGTCCAATCCTGTAGGATCATCTTAAATTTGGCAGGAGCGAATCACATTCTAAGCATCCGAAGATTGCTCGCTGATCAAAATGTTCAAAAGATTCTTCATTTTGTCAGCGTCTTCACGTAGAAGGACTATGTCATCTGCATATTCTAAGTCATAGGGATTATACCTTGGTAACAAGTCAATCCCTGAGTCGTGGAAGTCATTTAGATGTAAATCCGTTAGTATATCTATGATCATATTGAACAGAAATGGCGCAGTGGGCATCCCTGATGGATGACGACTTGCCGTAGGCTCTCATTTGGTTGCATGAGTTCAAGTAGAGTGCCTTGGCACTCCCTTCACAGCAAAACATTGCCATAATACCTCTCCATCGACGGAGTAAAATTCCACCTTCAGGTCAAGAAATATGACAGTTGTTGTACTTTGGTACGTATGTCTATGTTCCAGAATCTGTCGAAGGGTAGAGATATGATCAATACCTCCTCTTCCTGGGCTAAACCCTGCATGGTTCTCTCGTTTTTGTTTCTCCCGAGCACTTTTTAGTCTACCCATTATTATTGAGTCTAGATCTAAGATGACATATGACGTATTTAGGAATGAGTATCATGCACGTAGTAGGTTAGTGAGTGTTGTAGCTACCCCTCAAATATCTCTTATTCACCAAGACTATTTAATTGTGCTGGGAAGTAAAATGTAGACTGGTAGTATTCAGAAAGCAATGGTCTTCCGACTGCCTACCCACTATTCTTACGATTGGATTACGAGGTTTATTTGCTTGCTTGATCGCCTGTTTTCCGTGATACTTTAGTCTTCTAGGTTGATTTGAATTAAGGTAGAAGAACTTGTCAAACCGGTTTGTTTAACAATAATGATGAAGTACATAGGATTACAGCTAGACAAAGCAATCGGTTATTGAAGTAAAATTAAGGCCTAAAGATGAACAGCTTTCTACCATGCAAGAGTCAGCAAATTGTCTTTGTCTTATGTTTTTAAACTAAGTCCTTCTAAATATCAGACTGTTAATTTCAGTTTCCGACGTAAAAGAAAGTTAGATGAAGCTGTTGGTTCCTATGATCGTTGCAAAATTGGTGATACTGATATAGAAACCAAGTCTGAAGTTAAGTATCTTGGATTAATTCTTTCTTCTCACCTATCCTGGTCTTCCCATGTCTTAGCGATTTCTAAAAGAATATTTCATCTGACTTTTTACATTAGGAAGTTAAGGCACTCAGGCATAACCCAACCCCTCTTCTTACGGTTTGTCAACTAGTGTATTTTGCCTATTTTTCTATACTGTTCACCCTTGCTTATTCTTTCCTGGATTGCTTAAAAAAGACTATGTCATACTTCGTAGAACTCTGAAGACTGTCAGTGGGGTAAATGGTGTTGTCCCATTGGGTCATATCGTTGACATCGTCATTAACGGGCCTTTGATTTCATGCAACAAATTTGCTAAAGGGATTTTGTCAGACTGTGAGCATCCACTTCACCCGCAGCTTTCATTTTGTGTCTCCTCAGGCAGAATAAGAAGGGGACATGAGTTCCTTCAAGGTTGCAGATACGCCTTGCTGATGAGTGCCAACTAGCACGAAACCTAGGTCCAAGGCTTCCTGCCGATTACCTCCAACCATCTAATATCATCAGAATAGAAAGTCCTTTGGAAAGACTGTATGCGTGTACGTCTAAGTTTAAAAATTTCATGATATCATATTTGGTACGTATTTTATGTAGTGAAAACAGTATCAGGGACGAACTAAGTAACCAACCTTCTTTCCACTAGTACATAAACAATTTTCTCCATCCTTATACCTCCAGGCTTTACTGTTATTAGTCTTTTCTTACGTATAGTCCTCTCATTTCTTTGTTTATTTTCTTGCAAGTGTAAACATCAGTTAAGCTCTGTAATAAGTGTTATTTTTTGTTTTTCCCTTCACTACACTATATCAACAGAAGATTAAATTCAATATTCTATGACATGCTAAAGTGTCCGTACTGTACAAACAGTATTATTTTATTATTATTATTATTCTCATTTTGTACTTTGCACATTTTGACTTGATTCCTACCGTAAAAGTGGTCAAATTCTTATAGCTAATTTTATCCATATCTTGAGTAAATTAGATGCAATGTTGTGACAAATGCTGAGAATTCCATTCTGTATTATGAATACTGAGCACCATTCGGCAAAGTTAAACTTAAAGCACTACTAAGTATCAATCAACAAATGACCTTGAAAGCACCAATCACGTGAAGGAGGCATTTTTGTGTATGAAATGCATATATTTATGAAAAACATCCATAAAAACTGTATAAAAGTGTTACACAGGATACCTTCTTCTCACTTGTGATAAAAATAGCTTTCAGTTTTAGGTTAGAGTATCAACAGAGTTTAATTTCATTGTGGATAAAATTTGTTTTGATAAAGTCTCATAGTGTGTAATATAGTAATATTTGCTGTGCAATAAATTGTGCTCAAAACGTCATCAGTGAATATTACTGTATAGCACTGTGTGACTTTATCAAAATAAATTTTATCCGCAACGGAATTATACTCTGCCACAGTGCACATTAGGCGTGTTTATCGTCGGATTTCCGAACATCACTCTGTGTGGTTGGTTAAGTAAAGGACAAACAAAATCTATTCGTAGCGCTATTTTATCTCATCTTGTGGATACAGAACACAAGATTGATTTCAGCGAGAATTTCAAAGTCGTTTGCCGCATACTAACTAATCTTAGCTTCACCTCAATAGTTCATCTACTACATCTTAGTGAAGCTGTTGCGACACACACTAAGCAACCTAACTTATGTATTCAAAAGAAGTTGGTTCAGAATCTTTCCTTGTCCTCGTGGCTATCAAGGTTTTAATGATGCTTGATTTGTTGTGGTAATTTCCTTACTTTTATTTGATATTCTATTTACTATTGCATTTCAGTACCTATTAAAACTAAAGCATTTTTCGTGAACTGTAATTTCATTGATCTTACTCAACGAAT